GTCGGGCCTGTCCTTGTACAGGAGGAAGCTTCAAACATAGTCAAACAATACTCTGGGGAGGATTTCTTCTATTATGTTTGACCATGTGTGGATTTCAGTTCCATTCTTCTCGGCTTACCTTCAAAAACCCGCTTGCAGGAGGACTGGCCCGACCTAATTTCAGGGGAGTGAGCCTTAGCTCGGGGAGCCTGACGTCGGCTGCAGAGTCTCCATCGGGAGGGGGGGTTCGCCAGGAGGGGCGCGTGATGGGCCGATTTTACACCACCACTAAAATTTGTAGCAGAAGGAGGAGGCGGAAGAGGACATCATTGCTTTTTCCCCCGTCCGACATACGGTAGTGGTAGTGGAAAATTGGCCCATCAGATAGGGGCCTGTCGTGCAGGCGCAGATCTGTGGATGGAGGGCGCGTGACTTGGCGGCGGATCCCCCGCTTCCGGGCGAAGTAGAGGCGACCCGTGGGCAAATCGGGCAGCACCCGCTCCATGTTTTGGGGCGGGTGGGGGGGGCTCTCCCGATCTTGGACCTCGGCGGCGAGCTCGGGGGGGCAGTGCGAAGGGACGGGCCTTCTCAGCCGGCTCGGAGGCCCCACGGCTTTCTGAGAAGTTTGCCGCCGAGGATCGGCGCGGCATGGGGGGCCAAGTCGCGGCGCTTGCGGCGCCGCTCCTTGGCGCGCGACGCGCGCCTTGGCATCGATCGGACGTGTGCATGGTTTCGCGGCGGGGTCATTGAGGAGCACCCCGGGTCGTCATGCAAAAGACACGCACAAAATCCGAAATATGCACGGTGCGTGAACGTCCGAGCGATGGCGAGGCGCTGGGGAAGGAGGCTCCAGCGCCGATTCTCGACATCATCACGGACCCCCGAACATGCATGCCTTTTTATGAAGGTGTCGGGGGCGACGATAGGAGCGAGCCATCCAGGCGGGGGGCAATGCAGTCAAAGGTCACAGTGAGGACGCATGTATGTCGTGAGGGTACCCTTGCGTCCTTGCCTCTGCAGCCCCTTCTTCGCGGTTTTCATTGGCCAGCCCTTCAGAGTGTTGGCAGTCCGCCGGCCCAAAAATGCAATTTTCGGCGTTCACCGCCCGTCGTTATAGATTTCGACTGTAGATGTTTCCGAGGGTGCCGATGGCCCGTGTCTCTGGCGAGGCTCCCCGCGACGTGCTCTCATTCCCTCTCCTGGGCCCTTCGCTCCTGTCGCTTCTGGCCTCCCCTGGGAAGAGGAAGGGCCGCCCCCGCTGGCGTTGCAGATGCCCCTCCTTCTCTCCACCCCTGCTGGGTGGCGTCAACCGGGTCACCTTGCACATTGTGGCCGAGTTTAAGTCGGGCGTGTCCCTCTACAGGGGGTATATCCCAAGATAGTCCAGAAATTGTCTGGGGACAATTGTTTGATTATTGTTTGATCTTTTTAGGGTATGGTTTGATGATTTGTTTGTCCACAATTAGCCTGTAGCGGGACATGCCCGACCTGAGGCCAAGCCCATCCAGGGCCATCCCAGGGCAAGCCCGCGCGGGTTTCTCGGAGGTCCGGCGTTGGACTCTCCTCCCTGGCACGCGGAGCGCGCCAGGGGCGGCGCCGGAGGCGCCGCCAGGCGGCTCCAGCGCCGATCCAAGAAGTCCGCGCGGACCTCCGAGTTGTTATGTTTATGTCATTGTTCGTTCCCCTATCTTTTCACTCCTGGATGACGTCAACCCGGTCACATTGCAAATCGTGACCAGGCCCATCCAGGACCCACCAATCTTCGCCTGCGCCGCGCACCGACCTCTTGGGCCCAGGGTGGGGCTGGCCAGGGTCGGTGAGGCCATCTGTCCGCAGCAGTCTAGGATTAAGTCGGGCCTGTCCCTCTACAGGAGGGAAATTCAAAAATAGTTTAAAAATAGTGCGGGGACGATTCTTGTAGTATGTTGGAATAGTTTTGGAGTATTTGTTTTTGGACTATTTTTAATGTTTCGTCCAACATCGGTTTGTGGGGGGACATGCTTGACCTAATTCTTGGCCGCCTAGATGGGGTCGGAGTAGATGGGGCCAGAGGATCGCGCCGCATCGCCGATGCATCGGCGATGCATTGGCGATGCGGCTCGATGAGGGGCCCAATTTTCTTCCACGCCGACGTCGCGGATGCATCGCCGACGTCGCCAGTGCATGGCCGACGCATCGCCGACGCATCGCCGATGTATCGGCGATGCGGCGAGATCCTCCGACCCCATCTACTCGGACCCCATCTAGGAGGCCTCTAAGCATGCAGCTGTCGGCGGGTTTACTTCAGAATCGGCGCTCGCATTTCCTTGGTCGGAAACTTGCCGAGATTCGTTGCATCAGATTTGATCAAAATATGTCCGCTTTCATCCCGCGGAATCGGGCCCACTCCCAGGCCGAACCTGGACTAATCTGATTCAACGTCGCTTTAGTCGAGCTTAGTAGCCCTTAGCCTTGAGAGGGAATAGTCGACACAGAAACACATCATGTCCATCCCGAAGAACATGTTATAACAAACAAATGACGTGGATGGGAAAACGCAAATTCAGAAGATATGTTAACATCGTTGGGACCCTGGAGCGTGTGCCCATTTATGTGTGTGTGTGTGTGTTCCTGGGCCCCGGTTTTTCCCGCTCCCACGAAGACCTCACAGGAGTTGCCTCTGCAAGGTCCACCCGGCCCTCCCTGGACCTTCACCCGGCCGGGCCGTGGGGGACCTCTTCACCAAGTACTACCGGCTGCAGGAGGTGAACCGGCAGCTGGAGGCCGACACCAAGGCGGCCGCCGCCGACGGCGGAGCTGTTGTCGCCGCCGTCGTCGTCTTCTCCGGCCTCGTCCTCCTCCTCCTCTTTTGTCGACTCCCCTTCCTCCTCCTCTTCCTCCTCCTCTTCCTCCTCTTCCTCCTCCTCCTCCTCCTCCTCCTCCTCCTCTCTCTTTCTCTCTCTCTCTATCCTTCCTCCTCCTCCTCCTCCTCCACCTCCTCGTCCTCCGACGTCCTCGTCCTCTTCTGTCACTTGTCCTCGCAGAGTTGTCCTTTCTGTCGCATTCCAGACGTGTCTGTAGGGTGGGCCAGGCGTTTCGCCTGAGAGGTCCCCACCAATCGTGATTCTGGAGGCCGACATCCTCAGCAGCTTCATCACGAATGGAGGGCGGGTCGTTTTTTGTCAATCAGTGGCGAAGCGTCCTGGCTCGCCTATAGTCCTACCAAACAATGTTCTAAGAACCCTTTGAGGTTTCCACGAAATGGTCTTAGAACATTTCTGGTTGAGACTGTCTTGTTTTAACACATCGGGTTAATGTTTTCATAACGTTGTTCCGGTTATTCAAACGTTTTTGGGTTCTAAGAACATATCGTGGTAGGACTATAGGAATGCCGGGACGGTCGGTCCCTGCTCATTTTTTTCGTTCTCGCATTAGCGCCGTGCACATTCGTCCTACAAGTTTGCAGGAGCCTCGCGGGTGGAGGGCGGGATCGTTCAGAAGTTGTGGCTCGCATGTGGGCGCCGCGCACATCCGGCTTACAAGTCTGCAGCAGCCTCACTGGTGGATGTTGGCGTTGGCACGGTTTAGGACTGCCATGATTCACCAGTGCCGTTGACTCGCTGTGTTGAGGCTGGAGTGATCCTGAAGTGCCAGTACGTTATGGGTACATTGATTCGCGGCGCTGCAGTCCCAGGAGTGGTGTTCTGGCAGGATTGACGATTCTCAAACGGTGATTTCCCCATGGAGCCCCGGAATAGAAAGAAATGTTCATAGGGACCTCTGAAGAGGGAATTCGGAGGCAATGTTTATTGCAACACCGTTGATGCGTCTTGGGTTTACACAAGTCCTCACTCCTTCTCCTACGCCTCCTTGGAAACGCGGTGGTCTCATCACCCTGGCGCCGCCTCGTGCGACGCCCCTGGTGTGCTCCGCGCCCCTGGGTTGGGCTGTTGAGACCGCTCCAGACTATTCGGGGGGCCTGTTGAAGCCAGCTGGGACTACCAGGGGCGGGGGCTCTTGAGGCCAGACGGGGCTACCTGGGGCGGCTGTCTACACGCAGCCCGATACCCTAGTTACCACTCCTCCTCGTTGTCCTCCTCTTCCGCGCGCGCTCGGCTCCAGGCCCGATGGGCCGGGGGTAGAAAGGATGTTGACCTCCACCGTGGCAAAGCAGCCCACGTACACCCTGTGACCTGAGGAGGAGGAGGAGGAGGAGGAGGAGGAGGAGGAGGAGGAGGAGGGGGTCGGGCGAGGTCCTCGCCCGCCCGCTGGGCTGGAGGACGGACGGCCGACCAGGCCAGCAGGAGAATCGTGGCGAACGCCACCCTAGCGGAGGATCCTCCTCCTCCTCCTCCTCCTCCTCCTCCCCTCCTCCTCCTCCTCCTCCGCCTCCCCCTCCCCCTCTCTCCCTCCCCCTCCCCCTCCCCCCCTCCTCCTCCTCCTCCTCCTCCTCCGCCTCCTCCTCCTCCTCCCTCCTCCTCCTCCTCCTCCTCCTCCTCCCCTCCTCCTCCTCCTCCTCCTCCTCCTCCTCCTCCTCCTCCTCCCCCTCCCCCTCCCCCTCCCCCTCTCCCCTGGTCGCAAGCGCGAGGAGCAGGAGCGGGAGGGAGGGTGCAGGGAGGACGCTCGGTGCGGTAGAACGTATGGCTTATAAAGCCGCCCGGCGCTCCTCCCATCCATTCTGCGCAGCCGCGTGAGGGCCTCGCCCTCATCAGAACAGTGTCGGCCGGCTGGCCAGGCCTGCCTGGGGGGAATACGTCCGAGGCCGCGGTCGCACGCTTCGGGGCGATGATCCGCGACATCTACAGGCGGAAGAACCCCGAGAAGCTCGGAGACGTGGACGCAGGTTGGGCGGAACCTCATTGGTTGGCTGCATCCCCCCTCCGACGCTATGCGGAACGAAGGGCCAGGACGGATATTTGTCAGAAGTGCCTTCATGCGGCCCACTCGCAGCGGCGCTGGACCCAGCCGCTTCGAGGAGGCGAAAAGACTTGCGCACTGTGCGCAGCTCCTTTTTCAGCCGCACGGTAAGGCCTCGACGGCCCAAAGGGGGCAGGCAAGGAGGGAGGGGGGGGGGGGTCGACGCCGATCCACGGACCACAACTCCCGAGGCCGCACCTCTCATCTCAGGATGGTTGCCGACTCAGATGGCTTTCCAGGCACCTTGCGCTCCTGCACTCTGCGAGGCACCACCACGGATATATTCAATCAACGACGAGGGTGCCCGTGTCTCGAGTGCGCCCGGCACCACGAGCAAGCGACCAACGCATCCCCGTCTGAGCACAGCAGGGCGATGCAACTGTGCCTGCGGGCGTCGAGCTTTCAGTCGGGCCTGTCCCTCTACAGGAGGAATATTCAAAAATAGTAAAACATAGACCGGAGACGATTTCTGGACCATTTTTGCGCATTTTGAGAATTCGTGTTGAATCTGTTTCATTTTTCGTCCACAGTCCCCCCTGTGGGGGGACAGGCCCGACCTAAAGCTGCTCCAGATTTCGTAATAAAGGGAGGGGGGTCTCATTTCGGGGGGGTCTCTTCCAGGCCATCTTGGAGGGCCTGGGGGAGTCTGGGGACGATGTTTTGGAGGGTTCTCCCACGGGGGGGGGTCTGAAAGGGCTTGTCTTGGAGGGTCCAGACCCCCTCCCTTTCATTACGACATCTGGAGTACCCCCAGGCCCCCGATGCACAGCCAGACCTTGGCTCCCGGGGTCCACCCCGAGGCAGGGCCCCACGCGGGGACCTCTGCGCAGGGTGAGCGCCGGCTCCCACAAGATCAAGGCATGTCCGTGAGGCTTCCGCGGGGCCACTCGGGCCACTCCTCCCCCCCCCCCCCTCCCCTCCCCCCCAGTGTTTCCCCCCTCCCTCCCTGCTTCGTCCTCTCGTCCTCCTCCTCCTTTTCCTCCTCCCTCCTCCTCTTCTCCCTCCTCCTCCTCCTCCTCCTCCTCCTCCTCCTCCTCCTCCTCCTCCTCCTCCTCCTCCTCCTCCTCCTCCTCCTCCTCCTCCCACCAGCAAGGCATGTCCGTGAGGCTTCCGCGGGGCCACTCTGGCGCCTGAGCTCACCCGCGGGGCGCAGGACACGCGCGTGGGCATCCGACAGCACCGCCCGCGCCAGGCAGCAACACGACTCCAGATTTCGTCATAAAAGGGAGGGGGTCTGGACCCTCCAAGACAAGCCATTTCAGACCCCCCCCCCGTGGGAGAACCCTCCAAAACATCGTCCCCAGACTCCCCCAGGCCCTCCAAGATGGCCTGGAAGAGACCCCCCCCCCCGAAATGAGACCCCCTCCCTTTTATTACGAAATCTGGAGTAGGGTCGGGCTGGGAATGCGTGGCCAGAGTGCTGTTGGCAACACGGCCGGCCAGATCGTTGCCGCGCTTGAGAGCCCTTGCTGCTGCGTCAGGTCATCTGACTCTTCCGCGTGCGCTTGAACCTTGCTCACGCCGTCAACCAACTTCCTGTGGGTGGACGAGAAGAACCCAGAGTTCACGCGTTTGCAAGAGAGAGCCCGCATCATCGGCTCATTCGCCTGGACAGCCACATTCTCACACTAGAACAATGGGGCTGCCTCGCAATGCCTGCATGGCGGCAACGGCGTAAGCCCCGAATCCACCCCCCCTTGAGCGGTTTGCAGACTGGGAGCCCAGAGGGGGGAGTTGATGCAGCAGATTTCACCGCCATCATCGCTCACAGCTACAACCCCTCACCCCGCCCTGGAGATTTCTCGAACCGCGTGAGAGATACAGGGCCCGTGAACAGAGATGTTCTCAGATATGTCGAGCGAGCAGGCAGTGAGGAACATGAGCTCATAGTGCCTGCAGCCCGTTGCCATCACCATCATCACGAGCAGGGGAAGGGAAAACACCAACTGGATGCCGAAAGAGGCTTCGTGTGTACAGCAAGAAATCCTCCCCGTTACTAAGCGGAGGGAGAACCAGAGGGAGCGTTTCATCGAACGTACCCTTGAAAGACTTGACACGTCTTGGCCTCGGTCATGACAGGCTGGGCAGAACCAGGTTCTATGCAGCATGGTCTCTTGGCTAGCGTTGCACAGCGCACACCTACTGCAACTTTGTATCCAGGTCCCCTGCTATGGGTCCGGCCCACGTAGCGTTACAACCGACAGCCTTAGCACATCCTCGTTGAATTTGGCGCCGCGCTTGGAACGGAAGGCGGCTGCAACGACATCGTGGCACACCCGAGCACCAGCAACACGAGGAAGAAGAGCAGCTCCAGTGGCTCGTTCGCGGGGCCTCTGCACAGCCTCTTTCAACAGTTTCTTTAGGGGGCAGGGAGAGTGACAGAAGAAGAGACCTCGGTTCCAACAGCATCCAGACACATGACGGTGTACCCAGCCTCATCAGAGGACGAGGCGAAATGCCTCACGTGGAGTCCGTCGATGGCAGTGGCCGCCCTGGAAGCAGAACGACGGGCGGAGCGCAGGTCGTCAGGGAACAGACGAGGGAGCTGCTCAACATGTTGAGACTGGGAGGTGGAGCGCCACCGGGGCATCCCGGAGCTTGCAGAACTTGGCGGCCTCGGAAGAGCGCCAAGCAAACGGAACAGTGATGACCGCTCCGTCTCGACTCAACCCAGTCGTAGGGTTCCAGGACTGGCTGCCTCCTACATGCCGGTGTTCCCGTCTAGCGCTTTGACCGATGGAGTCGAAAAGCCGTTCTCTCCATTGGGACCGTGCCTGCGCCGTGGCTTGAACAGCATAGGCAGCAAGTTACTTGTCCAGGCTTGCAATAGTGCCTTCCTCAATGCGAAGCAGGTCGTGCTGCCTAAGAAAAACTGTACACACGGAACTTAGTTGGCATGGACATATAGACCGCCCTGAAAAAATGGGCGGCGACACAAGTAGCCTCCGAGCGTCCTGGGCTCGGGCCGGATCTTGCGCCGACGGCGCCTAACCGGAGAAGGAGCCTGACTTTACTGAGTACGCATTCGAGAGAAAGATTTTGGCTGACGATGGGGGGCCTTGCGATTTTGGCCCGGGATATTCCCCCCCCCCCCCCCCTGTCGCGGCATGTTCCCCCATGCTCTTCCACGGTGGAAGAGATGTTCATCGGCCCCCTGCGAGCTCCTTCTCTGCTCTGTCGGCCCAGTGCTTATGCAACTTGGCGAGCGTGCGCTGTGCGGCGTCAGCGTCTGTGCCAGGGTAAGCAGAGAGAGCCTCGTCCGCTTCGACTTGGGCGCGCCGCCGATCTGGCGGCAGAGGTGCGGGTCCACTGGGCACCCCCCCGACGGGAGTGGTGGCGGCTTGCGAAACGCAAGCCCGCGCAGCTGCCCCAACCCTGCGTGGAAAATAAGCTGGACAGGGAAGTGCGAGACGATGGCATGCGCGCGCAGCCTCGACCTCCAACATCCTACTGGTGAGACCCGACGAAGCGATGAAAGGATGAAGCATGTTTGCGCCATGTGAACGCCTTCAAGTTCGGCTCGCTGCGCACGAAGCCGATGCGCGGTACCCAGGATAGTTAGCGTCCCGGGGGACACGTTACAATCAGCACCGATGATCGTGGGCATGACTCGGCATGACCAGCTGCACCGAAGCCGTACTTTCCATAGTCAGCAAGTCGACGCTGGAGGCACACAACCCTTCGCACGTGCGCATGTACGCACTTCAAACGAACACTGTTTCCCCCTGGAACTTGCGCGATGGCTTCGAAGAACGATGTGCGTCTATGGTGTGCCCTCTGGGTGGGAGGTGGATGCCAGGCGAGGCCCGCGCGAGGATGCCCACGGCTGCGGACGTCCCGTGCCCCATTCCGGGGGCAGCGGGCTAAATAGTAGGTGTCGGGCCACGGCGATGATGTGCCCATCTTGGTGCGTGCTCTATAGGTCAGCCTGCAGCAAGTGATGCCCCTGAATGAGAAGGACATGCGCGTCGCACCTGGGCAGCAGGGCCTTCGGCCCACCTCCGGATGCAGAGTGCCAAGATGTGGCGTTGACAGTATGTACAACAAGCTTCACTTGAGAATCTCCAGGGCTGGACTTGGCGCACACAGGAACGCCGTCAGACAACTGGCCAGCATTGCTGCCAGTTTGCTGGACCTCACCAGCGCACGGCCCCCGCAAGGCAGACGGGCCGCGGGGCTCCACGACTCCCAGGGCACCGGGGGAAGGACCAGGACCCGAAAGCACAGAGGTGGGGTCCTCTCCCACAGGGGAGCTTCACGGGTGTTGGGCGCCACTAGGCTTAAGTCGGGCCTGTCCCCCGTACAGGAGGAATATCCAGAAATAGTCAGAACATGGTGTAGGGGACGAATGTGGTTATTTTGGAATATGTTTGAGTTTTTGTTTGTGCGGCAATTTTGTATTTGTCGCCCAAAAGATGTCTGTAGGGGGACAGGCCCGACTTAACACTTAGGTGCGACGCGTTGTGGGAAACCGTTGCGGCGCTTGGCCGAAGCGACTGCGCCGGGTGAAGGGCCGCCGGGGGGAGTGCCCCTCGTTGCGGCGCTCTCGCCCCAAAAAGGTTGCAGACAAAACCGAGTCGGTGCGTTCCGAGAACTGGAAATTCCGATGGCGAATGATCAGGCGATCGCAAACATGGATCAAGGGGGCGTGGATTAGCGACATGTCCCGTTTCCATGGGAAATCGTGGATTTCCGCCGCCGAACGAGGCGGCACCGACCGACCGCATTTAGTGGAGGCCCCCCCCCCCCCGATCCACGGATTTGGCGACCGCGCGCCAAATCTACGTATCGCTAATCAATCTTTGCGCGCCCCCGAGATGAGGCAAGCAGCGGGGAGAGGAACGAGGCACCGCTGGGCCAGGCGCTACTAGAAGGACAGGTCTGTGCGCTCACCCCTTGAGCGGGGGGAGCGGCTGGCACATGAGTGGACTGATGCGTTGCCATGTCGTTGCGCTGCAGCCCCCCCCCCCATCTTGCGAGGACGCGTCAGGGTGTGTGTGTGTGTGTGTGTGTGTGTGTGTGTGTGTGTGTGTGTGTGTGGGTGTGGGTGTGCGTGTGTGTGTGTGTGTGCGTGTGTGGGTGTGCGTGTGTTGGTGTGCGCGTGTGCGTGTGCGTGTGCGTGTGCGTGCGTGCGTGCGTGCCTGCGTGCGTGCCTGCGTGCCTGCGTGCGTGCGTGCGTGCGTGCGTGTGCGTGTGCGTGCGCGTGTGTGCGTGCGTTCGTGCGTGCGTGCCTGCCTGCGTGCGTGCGGGCGGGGCGGGGGGGCAGAGCCTTCTCAGCTTCGGCCCGCGCGCCGCCCCGGGAAGCGTCGCCGCTGCGCCGCGGATCCCCCGTGGCCGCAGAGGTCGGCGCGCCCCCGCCGGGGGGGCAGCGGGCTCGGCAGCAGGTGCGCCCTCTGGTCCGCAAGCTCCTTCGGGTGGCACGGGCAGGTCGGGCCCGCGTTTGCCACCCGCGGCCGCTCCGTCCTCGGCGCGCCGCTCCTCGGCCGCCGGAGCGCGTGGCGTGCCCCCCGCGTGGGCTCGGCCGGCACCCTTCGCGGCCTCCGCCCGGGGCCCGAGCAAGTCCTCGGCCAGCCTGGGCACCCCGGCCGAGAGCGAGGCCTTCTTTTTTTGGTGCGATGGCCTCACGATCCTCATGGGGCAGGCCGTGCCCGGGCTCGGAGTAGGACGCCACTGAAGTGGAAGAACTCGCTGGTGTCGAGCTTGGCGTCGCAGAGGGCATCGAGCTTGACTGTTGGGCCCAGAGGCGCTACTGCCACCGCCTCGGCAACAGGGAGGGATGCCTGCTGCGGCAGCTCGCGGACAGGGGGCCTCGTAACCCCATGCCGCCGATAATAAAGCCTACCCACTCCCCTTAACCCCCTCTAACATGTTAATCCCGTGCCAATCGGATTTCATTGTGGAGAGGGGCGCGGAGGTCGATCTGGATAATCCCCAGAGGAAGTTGCGAGTCGAAGTTGCTATCATCTCATGTTGACTAGCAACAACATCAAAAGCGCTGAGCATGGCAATGGTGGTCTCACCACTTCAGCTTCCGTAGTCACCAGCGTGTGGCAGGGCTATGGGGTTCTCACCATTTCAGTTTTCCCAAGTCACGAACGTGCGGCAGGGCCATGATATTCTCACTTTCTCAGCCGTTCCCGAGTTGTAACCACGAGCCTCGAGATCTCTCGAGTCAGTCTTGCACCCCGATCTACAAGGTAAGCCTACACGAGCGCCCAGGACCATCATCTTCACCATCATCATCACCATCATCATCATCACCATCATCATCATCATCATCATCATCATCATCATCATCATCATCATCATTGGGGTCACCATCATCATAACATCACCTTCCCCCGGGACATCGTTGGTTATCCCCGCCAGACCCCCGAACTTTATTATCCCTAGGGGATTATCATCGGGAACGCAAGGTTACTCTAGGTCTGCACCATCGGGCTCGACGTGCAGATCTCGCCCTGCAGCCTCCTGAGCCACGACGTTCTGCCGGCAAGAGAGCGGGTTGTCGACCTCCCTGTCCATCTGCTTCTCGAGCCGATTCACCACAGCGAAGGCTTGCTGAACTTCCTGGTGAACAGGGACTGGACGCTCGGGAACCTCCAGCTGCTGCGGTTTCTTGAACACTACTTCGTACTTGCCAGCTGTGATGAGATTGCCTCCTTTCCTCACCAGTTCAGCAAGCTGCTTGGCCTCGCCTGTGGATAGCTGGCTCTGGGCGCCAACAGGGGGGGTTCAGAGGTGGCCGCCGACGACCGCGTGGTGGAGCCAGCAGAGCCAGGCTGACGTCCAGGACCCAGGCTGAGGTGCCCAGGAGACCCAGTAGGCGGGGCGAAGCCTCCAGGGGGCGCGTGCGACCAAGCACCGCGAGGTGGCCGAGTGCCACCAGCAGGGGCCAGGGCAGAGAGCGCCGCCCCGCAGTGCCTGCAGAACCTCGCCGACTTTGGATTGTTGTTGCCTCCGCAGCTGCTGCGCTTGAACTTCGAGTAGCCGCTTGTGGCACCTGCATCTCTGCAAAGGTCATCGCAGGAGTCGAAGTGCCAGGCGTCATACCTGTCATGCGTATTTTCGTCCCCTCGACGGCGACATGTCGGGTAGTGCTAGAAGTGCCCCTGGCCCAAGGTGCCCCCAGCATTTCGCTCCATGTTGGAGCCCCTGGGGCCCTCTGGGCCTCGTGAGGGGTGATTTGGAGGCCATGGGGGCCTCCTTGGGAATCCTGGGGGCACCTTGGGCCAGGGGCATTTCTAGCAACACCCGACCAAGGGTATCCTGACGAGCCCGAGCGGTCAACGCGAACCTTGCCCTTGCTCCGTCCGTTGCCTTTTCCACCGCCATCGCTGGAAGAAGGGGGGGCATGCATCCACAGAGCGCTCAACTGACTGAACTCAGAGTTCATACGCCGAGCCAGAAGGCTCCTGAAGTTGACATCAACGAGCGCAGCACCTGTGCCAGAATGGCTGGTGGGGAGGAGGAGGAGGAGGAGGAGGAGGAGGAGGACGAGGAGGAGGAGAAAGAGGCGGAGGAGGAGGAGGAGGGGGAGGAGGAGAAGGAGGAGGAGGAGGGGGAAACGGGGCGGTGGGGGGCGGACGGTGAGGACGGACGTGAGCAGGAGGAGGGACGGGGGGGAGGGGCAGAAGGATGAGGACCGCTGCTCGAGGACGGAGGCTCTCTGGGGTTGTTTCGCCCTCTCGTGGCAATCCTCGCCGCCACGGTTGGGTTCCCGTTGATAATTATGCCAGCGGACGCGAAGCTTGGGAGATGCCTTGGGATCGATAGTTGTTTGGGGGCGGAGGAGGGGGAGGCGGAGAGTGGAGGTAGAGGGTGGTGATACTGATGTTGATGCTGATGATGCTGATGCTGATGCTAAGGCTGATGCCGATCAGGTTAATGATGATGAGTATGCTGGTGATGATGGTGTTTATGATGGTGTTTATGATGCTGATGATGCTGATGGCGAGGGGGGGGGCAGGCCGGGGGTGAGAGGAGGAGGAGGAGGAGGAAGAGGAGGAGGAGGAGGAGGAGGAGGAGGAGGAGCAGGACGAGGAGGAGCAGGAGGAGGAGGAGGAGGAGCAGGAGGAGGAGTGTGCATGCCAGCAAGAGCCTCAAGATGCTCAACGCTGGCGTAGACGTCCACACGCAAGGTGGTTGGGTCGAGTGATGGCACTCAGCATCAGCAGTAGCGGCGTCCAGTGCCGCCTGTCGTGTCGTTGCCGCCGCCGCCCCACGACGGCCTCGGTGACTTCACACGGTCGGGCCCCGCTGCTCTCTCGCCTCTCTCTGTCTCTATCTCGCTTATGGCCTCCGTCTTACGCTGTTGGACGCTTGTTCTTGGAATCGAAAGAACCCGAAGGAGGAGGAGAGCGTGATGGGACGAGGATGGGGAGGATGAGGCAGGACAGGATTCCCGAAAACTTATCAGGGGGGCACCTCGTTGGACAATGCTCCCCAGTGAGGCAAGAGGAGGAGGAGGAGGAGGAGGAGGAGGAGGAGGAGGAGGAGGAGGAGGAGAATTAGGAGGAGGTCGAGGTGGAGGTGGGGGAGGCTGGTTTGAGAGGGGGAGGAGGGTGTAATGGTGGTGATGATGAAGAGGAGGAGGGGGAGGAGGTGGAGGTGGAGGAGGAGGAGTCGGAGGAGGAGGATGTGATGCTTGTGAAGAGTGGGAGAAGGGAGAAGAAGAAGGAGGAGGTAGAGGAGGAGGTGGAGGTGGAGGACGGGAAAACTGCTTGGGGAGAGGAGGATGGCGAGAAGGCGAAGGCGCCGGAGGGCCCTTTCGCGGCGCGCCGAGGCGGCCGTCGCCGCGGAGATGCTGGAGGTCCTGGACGACCTCGAGCTCGCGGTGCGCCAGGGCGGCCTGGACCTCTGCCGCCCTCCCGCCCTCCTCGGGATGCTGCAGGAAGTTTCAGGCCTGATCTCCTCCACAGTTGCGAGGCACGCAGAGCAGCGACGATTGAAGCCTCGCCCCAGGCCGTCCCTGGGCGATGGAGGTCGGCTGCCGCCCTCCCTATCCTCGGGAGGAGGAAGATGGTGATGGTGTTGATGCGGATGTTGATGATGATGGTTATGGGAATGGTTGCGGTGGTGATGCTGATGATGGTACTGGTGATGGTGATGGCGATGATGCCGATGATGTTGATGATGGTGATGGTGGCGGTGGTGTCGGAGGTGATGACGATGATGATGATGATGATGATGATGATGATGATGATGATGATGATAATGATGATACCTTTCGCCCTCCTCAGGGGGGATGTTGGTGATGGTGTTGATGCGGCTGCTGATAAAGATGATTATGATGATGGTGGTGTTGATGATTGTGATGGAGATGGAAATGATGATGGTAGTGGTGATGGTGATGGTGAGTGTGATGATGGTGATAGTGGTTATGATGCTGATGCTTATGCTGGTGATGATGATGACGATGATGACGATGCCGATGACGATGCTGATGAGTATGCTGATGATGATGAGGATGATGACGATACTGATGATGAAGATAATGCTGATGATGATGATGATGATGATGATGATGATGATGATGATGATGGTGATGGTGATGGTGATGGTGATGACGATGGTGATGGTGATGAAGATGGTGGTGGTGATGGTGATGCTGATGACGATGATGATGGCGATGATTATGATGATGCTGCTGAAGATGCTGTTGATGCTGATGATGTTGATGATGATGCTGATGACGCGACCAGGCGCGTCGGATGGTTCCAGGTGCCCTGTAATTAGGGTCTTAGGCCACGTGGACTGTGGCGTCCAGGAAACTCCAGGACACTCCTTTCCTTCCCCTGTTTTAGCGGCTGCGCCAACTACGCTTTGTAGGCAGGGGAGATATGCCCCCGACGGGGGGGTACGGTCGATAACGAAAAGGGGGGGTATCGAGGGTTTGGGATACAGGTGGCGAATGGCACGCGATCAGATAGGAGCGAACAGTCTTGACTTGTTTGTTGCTGTTGCTGTGTAATTGTTGTTCATGTTCTTGGTGCTGCTGTTGCCGCTGTTGTTGTGGTTGTTGATTTCGCACTTCTACAGTCAAGTCATGGTGACCCCCCCCCTCCCCGGCTGCTCCTTGTGTCATTCAATGAGAGTGTTCTTCCTGTGGTTCGCAACCCGATTTTAAGAAAGGAACTGGTTTCGGCTCAGATTGTTTTTTTGGCCCCGGAATACTACAACAACAACAACTGCAACAGCAGCAGCAAGCAACAACATTTCCCGCCTGATGTTTCCTTCCTCTAAACATTTCCAGCTCGCGCTTCCGCGCGGGATTCCGCACAATGTGTGCAGGAATCGCCCTCTCGTGTGGGATTTCCCGGCATTTTTGTTCAGGCGTCGCGCACTCGACGCTCAGGAATCGTGCTGTCTTTCGTTTCCCTCTACTTGGGCATCACGCTATCGTTCGAGACCCCCCCGCGATTCATGCAGGGCTGGCGCTTCAGCAGCCCGCCTGCTCGACTTGGCAGCCTGGGCCCGCTTTCCCGGGCCGCCCGTTAGGGTCTACCTGCCCGATCTGCCCGTCCGGTTCTGACACGTGTTTTCTGTTCCTCGCCCCCCTCGTGCTAACCTCTCTCGTGCTCCATCCTTTTCCCTCCCCCTTGCATCGTCCGCTCTTGCCCTGTGTTAGGGGCTGCACCATTTACATGTGGAAGTTGAAACAGAGATACCGATATACCCACAACGGGGTACGATCGAAGACGAAGAGGGCCAGTATCGAAGGTTCGGAATATACGTGTTGAGAGGCATGCGAGCTGGTACGAGCAAATGTTGTTAAAGTGATGTTCGTTGTTGTGGATGTTCTGTTGGTATGGATTGTTCATGTTTGTTGTCGTGACCGCCAGCGATCCCTCCGCGACCCACCCCGCGACCCATCCGCGACCCACCCTGAGTCCGCCTTCTGGCACAGTGTAGCAAACGTTTTTCGGGGTAGGGTCTCGAACGTGAGGGGTGTAATACGGAATGTGCGCTACGTTTCGGACGAAGGCCTGCGCAGCTTGATACACCGTGCGTCTCCCAACGGGGGGGGGAGGGGAGGCCCTCTGAGCTCCCCCGGGAGCGCGCTTCGCGCCGCTGGGACAGCACCCCCCCCTGGCGTCCAGATTCAAACAGGAGAAAAACAAACCTTTCTCCCCTCCCCACACTCTTTGCATCCTCCCCGCCCCTAGGCCCCTCCATCAACGGGGGGGGGTCAGCTGCTTTTTTGTGATTTATTTGTTTATTCATATATATATATATATGTATATATATATATGTAGAAATGCGTATGGTTAAACAGTAGTCTTACTTATTACCTTTATCCGTATGATGCTTAATCGTCTTATCTTTCGTCTTAGCATTGTTCTTCTTATGTTCAATCTCCGTCTTCGTGGTGAGAACGCCGCGAGCTCCCGTGATTTGGGCACAGCTGTCGAGCTCCGTGACGTCCGAACGATCAAGCAACCCTGCCCGACGGGCCCCTGCCGGTCAGCACCGGCTCCACCGTGCTCGTCGGGCCAGGTACTTCTGTCCTGGCGGCAGCCTCCCCTCGGACCAGCGCCTCCTCCTCTCCCTCCCGCTGTGGGGGAGGAGGCCTGCCGAGGCGGCTCGAGGATCTCTCCCTCCCTCCCTGCACCCCTTCTTACGATGTTCCAGCCCACTTCCTAGCCTTGATCGCCAGGAAGGACTTTGAGCACCAAGAAAGCACCGAAATTTGAAAGTTTTCACTTGCCGGGCCCTGGGAGGCGTTTCTCGTTCGACCTTGTTTCGAGATTTTTTTGGGCGATCGGTATCGTGTCTGGGATGTGGTCCTGAAGTACGATGGGAGCAACACAAATCCCTTCGAGGTTGGACCGTGGGGGGCCAAGGGTCATGGCTCGCGGCGCGCCGGGGCGGCCTGGACTGGACAGCTCCCTCCCCGCTCCCTCGGGGAGAGGCAGGGCGGGGGAGGAGGAGGTGGAGGGGGAGGAGGAGGGGGAGGAGGAGGAGGGGGAGGGGGAGGGGGAGGAGGAGGAGGAGGAGGAGGAGGAGGAGGAGGAGGAAGGAGGAGGAGGTGGAGGAGGAGAAGGAGGAGGAGGAGGAGGAGAGGGAGGAGGAGGAGGAGGAGAGGAGGAGGAGGAGGAGGAGGAGGAGGAGGAGGGGGAGGAGGAGCCCCAGAAGCAGCTCATGGTGCCAACCTCGCAGAGCGGATCTCGTTCAAAGAACAATGGGATGGGGCTGGAGTGTTCTGGAGAATTCCGTTCCGGATTTCGAGGAGAATTTCGTACGGATTCTAAGTGGACAGGAACAAAGACTAACAAACATCCACGCGAAGTTCATTTCGTTATTCACACGCCGTTTCGGGGTTCTGCATTGGCAGGAATCCACGCACAAATCCGTTGCAGCACGTCTGCAAGGTCGGTGCAATGATACAGTTGGACCGAGGTATAAGATCGAGGTCGGTCTGGGGAGGGTACCCTGATATTCTTCGTCTCTGCTGGATGCTCTAGTACACCCTGGTGGGCATACCCGTGGATGTTCTGTGTGCTTTTGCCGGCGGAGGGGGTCTCGCGTTCCTGAGGGATGATTATCTGTTTCAGGTCCGACCGTCGGAGAATCGAGGGTCCGTGTTTTAGGGGTTTTCTCGCTCGTTCCTCCCGCCCTCCCCGGGGAGTCCGTGTTCCGTATGAGTTAGTCGTGGGGAGAGTGGAGGGCCCCGAGCTCTGGCAGGTTTTGGGGGTAAGTTTTGTTCCTTAAGTTGTGGGTCTCCGAGAGTCTTCCCATCACCAAGGTTCGATGCGTTCGAATTGTAAGTCGCAAAACGTACCCCGGAGCAGAGGGATAGAAACAATGACGACGAGCAGGAACGTATGTATGTATGTATGTATGTATGTATGCATGTATGTATGTATGTATGCATGCATGCATGCATGCATGCATGCGTGTATGTATGTATGTATGTATATATGTATAGATGTATGTATGTATGTATGTATGTATGTATGTATGTATGTATGTATGTATGTATGTATGTATGTATGTATGTATGTATGTGTATATATAGGTGCAGTTACGTATGCAAACATGTATATAGAAATGTACATGCATACGCATGGGACGCGCGAGAGAGAGAGAGCGATCAATGCACATATATATATATATATATATATATGAATCGAGCGACAGAGAGGGAACCAGAGAGCTGTTGATACATATATATATATATATAACTATACATATTTGAAATGAGAGACAGAGCGAGCGAGAGAGAGAGAGAGTGAACACGAGAGAGGGATACATTCGTCGGCATGCATATATATATATATATGTATATATATATATGTATATACATAGACACATACATGCTCAAGTGCTATCATGGAGAAGGCACGAGGACAAAGAGAGAGAGAGAGAGAGCACACAACAAAACAAACAATTATAAAGCGAGAGAGAGAGAGAGACTGAGAGAGAGAGGGAGAGACACAGAGACCGAGGCAGGCACCGAGAAGCACACAACATATCAGGAGGAGGAGGAGGAGGAGGAGGAGGAGGAGAGGAGAAGAGGTTGGGTTTGAACGTTCCTGGATCTTTCGGGCCTCGCTTTTCTGGGACCAACCTGGGAGGGGTCCTTCGTCGCCACGTGTGCTCATTTTGCACCACCTCCCACCTCCTGCCCCTCGCCTTCAGGCGCCGATGGTCGAACGGCTTCGAACTGTCCAGGACTTGCCCTCAGGTGGAGCAAGACGTGTTGTTTGATATTTTTGTTATTGCAAGTGGGCCGCCCAGAAACGCGATGTCTTTCATGATTTGTCAACGCGGGGTCCCCCGACAGGAAGTCTCGACCCTTTCCCCGGGGCTGGTTCTTCATCGCGAGCTGTTTTTTGATGGCCCAGCAAGGGCCGCAGGAGGCCAAAAACAGACCAAAACGCTCCGTCGTCGCGAGCATGTTTGGTTTGGTTTTTTGAGGCCTCGGAGACTTGGACGCCTCCTGCTCTGAGCGCCGCGCGGAAGTCAGGGCGGGCGGCCCCGCCCGCCGTGGATTCCGGACGCGTCGACCCAGCCGGAGGCCTCCCATGGCAAGACGGGGGCGAGGCTCGGGTCGTCCGGCAGCAACTCATGGGAGCCTTGTGTGCCCTCTGCATGCCGTCGCTCGGGTGCACTCGCGTGCGTCAGTGTGGGGCAATCGATGGGAAAGCGCCGACCCAGCGTCGACGAGCGTGTCATGCAGCGCCTCTCAGCCTCGATTGGCGTGCGCGAGCGTGGATTCGCAAGAGCCAACAAGATGGCATGGGAGGCTCCTATGAGTTGCCACAGATCGGTCGCGGCTTTTCGCGGCATCGTGGCTGCTTGGCCCAGGGGGATCTTTGGGATGGTTGGAACACCGAGTCGCAAGCTATACGTTTCGCCTCAACTCCCAGACCTCCCCCCGAAAAAGCCTGTCGCTCAGCAGGGGGGGGCACTCAGGGATACATCCCTTGGGGGCTATTCGCTCGCGCCCCTGTAGAGAGGAGGAGGAGGAGGAGGAGGAGGTGGAGGAGGAGGAGGAGGAGGAGGAGGAGGAGGAGGAGGAAGACGACGGGGAGGGGGTGGAGGAGGCTGGGCCCCCCCCTGCGTACATCATTCCGAGCTTGGCTCCGAAACGATTGGCTCGTAAACCCGACCCAGTCTGGGATTGGGGTTGCCATGCCCCCTTTAGATCTCTGGGATGGGTGGAACATGCTCCGATCTTCTTCCTAAGCGTCAGTCGGGTATAGCAGGGACCTCAGATAAGGGGACCCGGTCAGTAGTGGGGCGCTGGAGCCCCTAGATTGGCCAGAATCATTAAATCAGGTCTGCCGTAGCCGGTGTTACCTCGGGTGACGGCAATTCCCGTTCTTGGAATAGGGCGGGGGGGCGTCCCCCAGCACACATCATTAACCTGGTCCCACTAAACCCAGTCCTGCCAACGCCTGAGTCGGGGGGGGCGCCACCCTCGCCGACGGCCCCACATCGACCTCCGTCGCGGGCGGCCGCCGCGCGCCAGAGGCGCTCCGACCCCCGTCGCGGCGCGACGACGAGGCGAGGTTGACCCCCCGTCGGGGGGGTATCCCCCGAAGAAGAAGAGGAAGAGGAGGAGGAGGAGGAGGGGGAGGAGGAGGAGGAGGAGGGGGGGGAGGGGGAGGAGGAGGAGGAGGAGGAGGAGGAGGAGGAGGAGGAGGAGGAGGAGGAGGAGGAGGAGGAGGAGGAGGAGGAGGAAGAGGGGGAGGAGGATGACGAGAAGGAGGAGGGGGAGGGGGAGGAGGAGGGATGAGGAGGAGGAGGAGGAGGAGGAGGAGGAGGAGGAGGAGGAGGAGGAGGAGGAGTTGGAGGGCCCTCGCATTCCAGGCCGCCGACGTGGCCACTCCTTTCTCAAATGGGCTGCTCGACCTGCTCGCTTTTGCGGCGGGCCGGCTCGTGGCCCCCGCGCTTGTCTTCTCCCTCTGCTGGTCACGCGAGGCTTAGGTCAGGTCTGTCCCCCCTGCAGGGGGATTTTGAACGAAACATTAACTATAGTGAAGACATGTTCAAACATTGAAAAATTGTCCAGAAATCCACATTTCATTTTGTGATAATTTTTGAATATCCCCCCTGTAGAGGGACAGGCCTGGCTTAACGCGAGGCCCGCGACACGGGGCCTTTGGAGGCCGAAGGCTTGGACCAAACGACCGCTGTGTGTTTTTGCCCCACTGATCGGAGGAGGAGGAGCAAGTACCCATACTTCTACCCTTGCCTCGTTTTCCCCTTTTTGGGCCTCCTCGGAGTCCCTCGTCGCCGCCGCTGGATTCGCTTCGAAATTCTGGTCAGAACGCACCCAGGGAGAGGTCCGGGGAGTAGCAGTATCGGCACCTCGTGGCTTCCCCAAATCAGTGCTTGCACTGAAGGGGTCCTCTCGGAAATTGAAAGATTTGGCGAACGTGTCCCGCCGATTCTGGTAGCCGGCTGGGTTCCTGGTCATTGGTTCCGGGCCGATTTCGGTGGGTTCCGGGTTCCCGGGTTCCCGGTCGATTTCTTTATGGATCTCTTTCTTGATCCAATGTCAAAGCATCCACTGATTGGGGATTTTCTCTGGTGTTGTTTAGTTTCAGGGCCGCCACGCCCCGGGATCTGCTCCGAGCGGGCCCAGCTCCCTCCCCTCTCCTCCCTCGGCCGTCGCATTGTCGCCCCCCTTTCCCCCCTCTCACTCCCGCACACGGTGGCTGAATGTTCGTCCAGCGTTGCCCCGTTTTGCTTCACTACACGCCAGCGCAGTCTCTCTGCCTGGAGGGTTTCTCCGAAGGGCTCAGGCGACCCGTCCTCCTCCTCCTCTCTCTCATCCTCCTCCTCCTCCTCCTCCTCCTCTTCCTCCTCCTCCGCCTCCTCCTCCTCCTCGCCCTCCCCCCCTCGGGTCGCCTACGGCCCCCGGGGAAACCGCCCACCTCTGCCTAGCCGCCGACGCAAGACTTTTTGTTCCAGGGTGCTCGCGGTCGGAGTCGCCACTCAGGGGCAGCGATCGATCGCGGGGGATCGCCGCGATCCCCGGACGCCCACGCGGCGCCGACAGGGGGTGGGACGGCCTGCCCCGCCCAGGGACGTGCCGTCTCGCCACCGAGGGCCTCTCGCAGGTCCGTCGGCGGCGTGTCGCCGATGCCATGTGCCAAGGCCCCGCCCGCCCAGGCCTCCGACGCCCGCGTGGCTCCCTGGAGGTCCGAGCCCTTCTCCTCCGGGGGGGCCAGCGATCCCTGCCGAGTGGTTCTGTGGACAGCCCTGGGGGGCCAAAAGGCCGAAAGGGCAAAGAGAGGGCCGCTGGAGGCCGAAAGGGCAAAGAGGAGCAGCCCCTGGCGAGGTTCATCCGAGGCGCGCAGGTGTCCGTGCTCAGGGGAGGCTGCAACACCGCTCAACGATGTGCTGTCAGCCGAGCCTGCAGGGTGGGCCTTTGCCGTGTTTATGTGCACCTCAGCTTTGGATTCGGCTTCAGCTGTGGGTGCACCGTGCAGCGCCTTCGGGCCCGCTCACCCCAGTCGGAGTTTCCGCTCGCGCGGGTGCTCCCCCCCTCCGTTTGTCCCTCGAGGACAGGGTGCGGCCCATCGCCGAGAAGCTCGAGGCGAAGCTGCAGGCACTGGCTTCGGGCCAGCTCACCCGAGTCGGGTTTTCCGGTTTTCCACTCGCGCGGGTGCTCCCCCCCTCGTTTGTCCTTCGAGGACGGGGTGCGGCCCATCGCCGAGAAGCTCGAGGCGAAGCTGTCGGCGCTGGCTTCGGGCCAGCTCACCCGAGTCGGGTTTTCCGCTCGCACGGGTGCTCCCCCAGATCCGATGTCGTGTTTTTTTCAACACGCGTCCCCGGAAGTCTCGGTCCCGAGGCCCGGCGAGGGCCCCTAGGGGCCGAAATTTCCAGAAAATTTCCGTCTTGATTCCCTACCTAGGCTCTGCCTAGAAGGGTTCTTACTCTCTTAGCTTAAAGGGGCCGGGCAGTGCTAAGCGCCTCGGGCGGTTCCCCCAGTCCCCTGGGAGCGGTTCCCCCCAGTCCCCTGTGAGCTTTAGCTTTAGCTTTAGCTTCAGCTTTAGCCTGGCTTTAACTTAGCTTTAGCTTAGCTATAGCTTAGCATTAGCTTAGCGTTTCGCTTAGCTGTTCGCTTAGTGTTTAGCTTAGATTTAGCTTAGCTTTAGCTTAGCTTTAGCTTAGCTTGAGCTTAGCTGTAGCTTAGATTTAGCTTAGCTTTAGCTTAGCTTTAGCTTAGCTTTAGCTTAGCTTGAGCTTATAGTTAGCTTAGCTGTAGCTTAGCTGTAGCTTAGCTGTTGCTCAGCTTTAGCTTAGATTTAGCTTCGCTTTAGCTTAGCTGTAGCTTAGCTTCAGCTTAGCTTTAGCTTAACTTTAGCTTAGCTGTGGCTTAGCTTTAGCTTGGCTTTAGCTTAGCTTTAGCTTAGCTTTAGCTTAGTGTTACTGTTACTACTAATGCTGCTTTCCTAGGGGTTCCAACTCCTAGGTAGGGTCGCACTGGGATAATTTTTTCAATGCGTTGGATCTCGCGTCCCCCCCCTCTCGCTTGTCCCTTGAGGACGGGGTGCGGCCCATCGCCGAGAAGCTCGAGGCGAAGCTGCGGGCGCTGGGGTCGTCCGGGGACCGGCGCCACAACCGACGCCGCGCCACGCCCCCCCCCACCCCGCGGCGGCCGCCGCAGCTTGCCGGGCTCGTGCCCGGGCAGTGCCACGAAAGTCAAGCAGTGGCGAAGCGTCTTGGCGTGCCTGTAGGCCTGCCAAGCAATGCTTGAAGAACCTTTTGTGGTCTTAGTTGCCTCGATACGCCCGTTTCGAAACGCAATACGTCCCGTGTTCACGACGTCCGTGCCAATACGTTGCGTGTTGGCTCCACGTATTGGGCGCCACGTTTTGGCGAATGCATCGCGTCGGACCTACGTTCTCAGCCTACGTGTTGAGCTCCGTATCGATACGCTACGTGTTGCGTGTTGCGTATCGGGGCAACTTAGTTTGTGGTTTGCGCAACATGTTCTTCGAACATTTCTGGCTGGGGCTGCCTTGTTTTAACACATCGGGTTTATGCTCTAAGAACATTGGCTTTCTTATTAGAACATCTTGGGGTTCTAAGAACATCTCGTGGTAGGCCTGTCGGAATGCCGGGACGGCCAGTCCTTGCTCAAGAAAGGGGTCGCCTCGTCGTCGCGCCGCGACGGGGGTCGGAACGCCTTCGACGCGCGGTGGCTGCCCGCGACGGGGGTCGATGTGGGGCTGTCGCTTGGGGTGATGCCCCCCCGACGCTTATTAGAAAACTCGGGGTATCCAATGAGTGGGTTACAAGTGCCCTAAGTGGCTCAGGGGGCTTGCCCGCGAAGTGGGCTCCGCCCACTTCGCCCGGGCGTGTACGTCCTTCGGCCACTTCGGGCAGTTGCGACCCACTGATCAACTCCTAAACCTATGCCGCATGACCCTTCCCCAGTCTCCACCTGTTACCCCCTTGTCCTCTTAGCGACCCCCGCGGTGACCCGAGCAGGGGATGACCCCAGATCTCCGACGAGATCTTCTGTTCACTCCCGGCTTGGTTCCTCGATGTCGTCTTCCCGGGCCCGTCATCGGGCCTCGCGGGACAATCAAGAATGGACCGGGGACGGCGGAAAGCTACCCCAGATTGCGTAACAAAAGGGAGGGGGTCTGGACCCTCCAAGACAAGCCATTTCAGACCCCCCCTCGTGGGAGAACCCTCGAAAACATCGTCCCCAGACCCCCCAGGCCCTCTAAGATAGCCTGGAAGAGACCCCCCCCGAAATGAGACCCCCCTCCCTTTATTACGAAATCTGGAGTATCCGCAGAGGTCAGGACCTTTGGGCCAGCGCATTGGAAAAGGCACATCGTCGGATGAGCTGGGCTGCCTGAAGTCGAGGGCCGAGGGGCAGGGAGGACCGATGAACCAGGAGCGGTTTTGGACGTCGTCTGGGCGCCTCTGGGAGTCCTGGAGGGTCCCCAAGGGGTCGCGTTTTTTGTTGAGGAGGCCCGCAGATCCAGGCGTTGTAATGTTTTCACAGCGGGCAGTATCGCCAATCTTTGGGCCCCAGGGCCCTCGCAGATCGATCCGACTCGAAAACTGCATAGGAAGATAGCGACTATAGCGTGAGTTTCGCGATGTTGCAATTGTTTTCTCGGATCTCGAAGGTGGGGGCGACCGCTACCAGCCTGGAGCATATCCCTATCCCGATGATTGGCATCACCCGATCTCGATACCGATCAGAAGGGTGCCCTCAGTTACCGAGTGCGCACCCCTGAGATTGTCGTCTCCTGCGGGCCTGGCAACCTCAGGGATCGGGTTTAGACCGAGTCTAGCGAGACCCCCCCTGGTGGTGGCGCCCCTTGGTCAAGGCAGACAGCACGGCCGTGCTCTGGGGACAGGGCAGAGATTAGGCGTTGCGTCATGGGGGGGGGGGGGGGGCGACGAGTGAGGGACGCAGGAAAACGGGGCGGAGTTCGCGCGTCAGCTGCCCGCCGAAGGTCGCGCGTGAGCGCTCTGGTTTCCAGTGCAGCGGGCCATGCTGGCGGCTCGCGTGAGCCACCACGTAAGGTCGCTGCGTCATTCTGCAGGAGACTCGTTTATGTTCGTCGCTCAAATGGGAGGGTGAGGCAAATTGCACCTCTTGTGCCCCAAAGGGGCCCTGAAGGGGCCCGCTGGA